CCCAAAGCATGGGAGATGAAGCTTCACCATCCTTGCCTCCAAAGAGCATTCTTTAGAGCTAGCTAAACCAGGAGGCTACCATCCTTCCCCGAAACACTAGCCTGATGGTCCTCAGGAGGCCATATCAACGAATGAATGGAAATCCAAAATATCTGTAAGTGTTCATTGAAATTAATAATAAAAAAATAAAAACAAAATAAAATTCATCCCAAACACGTAAAACTCAAAAAAGAGAGATAGATCCCCTTCATACTTAAATTTGCTGGCTCAATTAAGTAACATCACTTATTTAATATTTTTGTCTTATTATACAACAACAATAGGGAGCTGTGGTGGCCTAGTGACCAGAACCTCTGCTACAGTTCAAACCCACCGGTTGCTACATGGGAGAAGATGGACAATCTGCTCTCCTGTGATTAACTGCCTCTGAAAACCCACAGAAGGGTCATCTATGGGTCGGTTCTGACTCTACAACAACATATCTACCTATTTTAATTTTAGACAAAGGTACTACATCTCCACACTTGGGTTGTTTGGTTGGTTTTTTTTTTTAAACGTAACTAAAAACTCATTTCTGGAGGCACGGTAGGTTTGAGGACTCCGGGCATGTGTGGTGGCTTTTGGGGGCCCACGAGGGGATTGGCAGAGTGGACCTGCCAGATGGGGGTCTGGGGCAGGGAGTTTGCCAGCATTTGGGCATGCCGGGCTGGTAAGGCACTGCAAGGTCAACAAGCCCTGCCTAGGGTCTTGGGTTATTTAATGTCAGCTGAAGCCAGTCTTTCATTGTTTTTGTTCAGACATTCCTCTCGGTAGTATAGCCGTGGTGTACAAGTTGCCTTCCTGTGGTCACTTTTGTTTGCTGTGAGGCTGACACTGATGTGTCAAATATGTTAATGGTTGGCTACCCAGTGTGGACAGAGAGTGGGGTGGAGCTCCCCTATTAAAACAAGCTTGGAAGGAGGAGTGGCATCCACTTGCATAATAGCTTGCCTCCGGAAACCCTATGAACCTGGAGAGAGGATGAAAGGCACACAAGCATTGAGGACTCTCCTTCATAGGGTCGCTATGAGTAGCCTTTGACTGGACAGCACTTAACAACAACAACAGAAAACTCATTGCCACTGAATCAGAACTGACTCAGAGTTGACTGTCCCTTGGGCTTCTGAGGCTGTAAAGCACATAGAATGAGATTATTAGGTGGCTTCCTTCATCAAAGCTGATGGTGGATTTGAACCATTGGAGAGATGGTAGTCTTTGGTTTAGCAGCACTACTCTCTATGGAATACTGAGTTAACAAGCAAAATCAGCAATGATTGACTTAATGATTATGTCAGATACAAGTCTAGAGTTTGGAGAATACATTTGTCTTGTTTACTTTCAGGAATTACATATTGTTCTGAGCAAATCTGGACAGGACTTTTCAGATCTCTGTAGATAATGGGTAGCTTCTCTCTGTCTTGCCTATTTCAGTATTTCTATACACTTGTGGAAGGCAATGGTCATTCAATGGTTACTGTTGTTTAGTTCAATGGTAGAATTCTCATTTTCCACGTGGGATACTTAGGCTTGAGTTCCAGCCAGTGTGTTCCATGTACATCCACCACTTATTTGTCAGTGGAGGAGGAGGTGTGTGTGTTGCTAAGATGCTGAAGACGTTTCTTTCACTGGACTTTCCAGACTGAGAGGGTCAAGGAAGAATGGTGTGACAATCTCCTTCCAAAAATCAGCCAATGCGAATCATATAAATTACATGGTCCTACCTGCACCCAATCATGGAGATGCTCTAGGATCAGGCAGTGCTGTGTTCCAAAGTGGATGAGATTGTCATGGGCCAGGAGCCAGTTTAATGGCAGTAATACAGATTGAAGCTCAACATCAAGATCTCAACACTGGGCCAATTGGCTGCACCATGATAGATGGAGAAGAGACTGAAGTAGTTAATAATTTCAGCTTGCTCAGTTCCACAATCAACTCTCTCTGCACCAGCAGTCAGGAAATCAAAAGAGGAATTGCACTGGGAAAATCTACTGTCAGGGGCCTCTCCAGAGTACTGAAGGGCAACGATGTCAATCTGGAGACTAAGGTGTACATAATTCAGGCCATGGTCTTCACAATTTCTTGCTATACATCAGAGAGGTGGGCAATGACTAAGGATGATAGAAGAATTGATGTCTTTGAGCTGTGGTATTGGAGAAGAGCATTGAACATACTCTGGATTCCGAAGAGAACAAACAAAGGATGAAGAGGAGTTCTGAAGAGGGTGAAACCAAGCTGCTCCCAGGAGGCAAGGATTTTGAAGCTCTGTCTGACGTACTTTGGACATGTTGCCAGGAGGAACCAGTCATGGAAAGGGACATCAAGTTTGGGAGAGTGGGGGGACAGCATGTAGGAGAGGAAGACCCAGATTAGATGGACAGACTCAGTGACTGGGGTAATGGGTTAGATGTGTAAGAGACAATGAAATTGGCTCTAGATAGAGCAGGAGTTCAGAGCTGTTGTGCATAGGGTTGCTATAAGTCACAGGCAACTCAATGGCACGTAACAACAACAATAAGAATAATTTACCTGTTAACATCTGACTCCAGTAACAGTGGAAAAGTTTAATAGGGCAGCAAGTAATAAGTACTGGAGAGGGTGTGGTAAGAAAGGAACTCTTTTACATTGTTGGTGGGATTGTAAAATGGTACAACCATTCTGGAAGGCAGTTTGGCACTTCTTCAAAAGCTGAACATAAAAATTCCATATGACCCAGCTATTCCACTACTTGGAATATACCTTAAGAAAATGACAACTGAGGCACAGAGACTTGTACACCATTGTTCACAGCAGCATTATTCACCATTGCAAGAATGTGGAAACAGCCCAGATGTCCAACCACAAATGAATGGATTGAGAAATTATGGAATATTCACACAATGGAATATTATGCAGCACGCAGGAACAATGATTTTGTAAAATACTACCTAACCTGGGAGAGACTGGAGAACATTATGCTAAGTGAACGAACTCAGTCCCATAAGGACAAATATTGTATAAAACCATTACTGTAGAATGAGTATAACGATCCAAGGGGTTGCGGAGGGTGGAAGCTGAGGGATAAGGATGTGCAGGCCGGCGGTGGGATTAATCATAGAGTTGTATAATTTGGGGTGTGTGTGTGAAGGAAATTGGAAGAATCTGGTCTGGAAAACAATGCATCCAAATTTTAGAAATAAACTAGTATAATAATAATAATAACAAAAAAATAATTCTCAGTCTTACCTCCATCCGGTTGTCAGTCTCATTCTACAACAGGGTCACCATATAGTATTTGTCCTTTGGTGACTGAGATATTTCACTCAGCATAATGTCCTCCAGGGTCACCCATTTTGAATAATATTGCATGAGTTCCTTGTTTTTCAATGCAGCGTAGTATTCCATTGTGAGAAAAACTGGATAAATTATGTTCACTGCATTGAAGCCAATGAGGGAGAGAATAGTTTAAAAGTAATATATTTTAGGGCATTATGATTATCATAAGAGTCTGGAATGAGGGTTGCAGAGTGGAGTATACTCAGGGTGGGGGTGTGCAAGGGTATTGTGTACCAATGAAGGAGTTTTTCTTTTGCTTTTCAAGGAGAGGTGCGAACTGGGGGTGGGGGGGGCGGAGAAAAGGGCAACAATGAATGAATGGAATTCCAAAATCTCTGTAGGTGTTCAGTTACATTAATTTTTTTTTAAAAAAAGAATTCTCCAAGATGTCACAGAAAGCTACAACAAATACTCAAACTCAGTTCTCCACTGAGTTTCCAAGGTGATAAGCCAGACAGGAAGGAGATTGCCCATCTTACCCCAGTGGACCTACTGGTTAATTCAGATCACTAGATACACACAGCCTTTGAATTAGTAACGCAACTTGCTATGCCACCATAGCTCCCTAACAGAAATGTAAGAGGGATCTAAATCAGCTATGAAGGAATTGCCAATGGCGTGGACTGAGAACCAAATACAAACGTGAATCCTTGGCATGTTGAAAGCCACTGCTAAGGTACAGAACTTGTCCAAGAAGCTAAAAGAAAATGCAAGATCAGAGAAATATGTTGTTTGCACAATGTCCATATTACACACTGTATTATTTAAGAAAACATGTGACAGATAATCAGTGATGATGACTGTAAAGCCTTTGAACTACATTTGTTCTACTCTCTGGCGATTGGTGAGTACCTGTGTAATAAGCCCTGTTGAAATTTGATGAACTATTTGATGCCTTGATCATCATCTATTTCAAATGTTCTTCAGGTAGCATGAATCAAGCCTGCACTATTTTTTTTATGCCAAACTAAAATTATTGCTTTGAAAACCAAATAGATTAAATCATCTTTGTTAAAAAAAGAATAATTTACCTGATATATCATACACCATGTAGAAGACACATGTCTATCTGTTGCATGCCCAGCATGTACTGGATCACCAAAATTTTTATGAAATGAGGAAACTTAACACTAAAAGAACCTGAATATGCCCAACTAACTGGCAAGCTGTTGGTTAGGGACTTGAACTTTTGGGTTCTTCATCCTATAGGTCACACCCTTACCCCTCTTCTTTTTTTAATTCTTGTTGTGTACTGTCGAATCAGATCCCACTGGCACAGGAGAAGATTGTCTTTCCTTCTCCAGCATAGCTTCTGGTAGATTTGAACCGAGTGCCTTCGGGATTGCAGCATAGCTCCATGCCACTAGGCCACCAGAGTTTCCCTTTACCCCTCTTTCACAGAGTTTCAAGAGCTACTGCTGTTGATACAATGATGTACAAGTAGAAATGATGTACAATGAGGAATATGCTAGTTCTAAGGATTGATAGGCTTATGAGTATTGAGCACTCTATTCCTTTGATTTGTTTCATCAGCAGAGGAAGCCCAGATTAGAATACACCTTTCAGCCACTTTCTGGATAATTGCACGTGTTCCCTGAACAGATCCTCTCGCGTTGCTATACGTCCACACATTGGCTCTTATTACTTGCCTCATGTGAAGAGGGTTCTTTCTTCAGCTCTTCATCCAGGTCCACACCAACTCTGTTAAAGAAAACAGTAAAGCCAGGTAAGAGTCTTACAGCAGACAACATGGTCAAGGGAGAACTTAACCCCCCAAACAATAGGAATCCGAGGAATAATTTCCCAGGTAGTTATCCGACCTTGCCCTGAATTGAAACAGCTAGAAATTGATTGATAACAAAATGAAGACTTGCACAGTTGTGCCTCAGTGAAGCTGTGCTGGGGAGACTGTTCATCCCTGCTGGCTTTCTCAGCCAGAGCAGAAATCAGAGAAAATCACAAGGTGGAAGACCTTGCAACCCTGCAAACAGCGGCCAGTACCCTGGCAGGAGTCGTGACTACACTGTCTCAAGAATGTAGGCTCTTTGGGCAGAGAAACCTGCTCCTTGGTCCACAGCTGCTAGCATGAAAGGTCCTGGTCTGGGAGACATGAGGGTTACACAGTCTAGGGGCCTCTTTAATTTACACATCCATGAAAATAGAAATGCAAAGTTAGATATAAAAATGATCATGCAATAGAAGAAAAGAAATTACAAAAATATTATATCTTTTGAAAGATGGTGAAAACCAATTATTTAAAAATCCACGGAAAATAATATAGACATTAACATCCACCTAAAATAAGTACTATACTCTTCCTGTAAGTTTTAACTTGTTATTGTTATGTGCTGTCAAGTCACCTGTGACTCATACGTACAACAGCCCTAAACCCTGCTCTATCCTGTGCCAATGTCACTGTCTCTGACACACCTACCCGCATTGCTCCAGTCACTGAATCCATCACCTCATAGAGGGTCTTACTCTCCTGCTCTGTCCCTCCACCCTGCTAAGCTTGACATCCCTCTCAAAGGACTGGTCCCTCCTTGCAACATGTCCAAAGTATGTCAGATGAAGCTTCAGAATCCTTGCCTCCATGGAGCAGCTTGGTTTAACCCTCTCCAGGATGAACCTGTTCATTCTCTTATCAGTCCATAGGATACGCAATACTCTTCTCCAACACCACGGCTCAGAGACATCCATTCTCCTTCTATGTTTGCGAGTCATCGTCCAGCTCTCTGACACATAGGAAAGGCCATGGCCTATATAAGGCAAACCCTAGTCTCCAGACTGACATCTTTGCACTTCAGCACTTTAGAGAGGTCTCTAACCACAGACATCTTTTAATTTCCTGGCTGCTGGTGCCAAGAGTGTTGATTGTGGACCCAAGCAAACTGTTAACAATCTCAGTCTCTTCACCATCTATCATGATGATGCCAATTGACTTTTTTTTTTTTTTTTTACTCTGATAACCTATTTATAAAATGATTTTGTGATAGAGAGCCTGGAAAGTTAAGGCAGTCCTTCCTGTAGTAAAACTGATCAAAAGTATTGACAATTGGGTAGGATTCCAGCATTCTTTTTACACAGGCCCACATGTTACATGTAGGACAGCTACAGGTAAATGTGCAAACACATGTGTTCTAATAAATCTCATTTCTTGTGGTTCCTATAACAATTTGCAATGTCTTTTTCTTTCTTTGATTTTTTTTAAATTGTGGTAAATATCTGTGTTAAAAAAAACAACTCAAAAAAACACTTGTCAACATTTTGTTAATTATGGTCACTATGTTAACAATCACCCTTTCTACTCCCCAAATCTTCCCTCAAACTGACAGAAACTGAGTCTATACCCTAAGCTTTATGTATACTCTGCTAAACTTCTGCCCACACTCAGTCTTATAGGTTGAATTGTGTCCCTCAACAAGAAATGTTGTGAATTTTAAGCCTTTGTATCTGTGGTTTTATAACACTTAAGAATAAATTGTCTCTGTTATGTTAATATACATTATCACTGTTGTTCTTGTTCAAGCTGACTACAATTCTCAGCGACCGTCTGAACAACAGATTGGAAATTTGCCCTATCCTGTGCCATTCTCCCAATCTCAAGCGTGCGCAAGCCTGTTGCTTCTGTCGTGTGTCAAATCATCTGGGGAGGGTCTTAGTATTGGCATAGCTTGAGTCATTCTCTTCTGAGAGAAGAAAGAGATTAAATCAGTGAGTGGAAGAGAAAAGGGGTAAAAGAGATGTCATGCCACATGGAGACACTCAAGAAGTTAAAAGCTGAAGAGATAAGGATCTTTCTCCAGAGCAACAGAGAAAGCATTCCCCAGGGCCTGCACATTAAATTCAAACTTCCGGCCTCCTAAACTTGCTGCTGTGTGACTTTGAAGTTGTCAAGGATTTTATTTTATTTGGATTCCTAATCAACACCCACTGAAACAGCAGTCAAGAAATCAATTCTGCATTACATTGGGTAAATCTGTTGCAAAATATCCTTGAAAGTGTCAAAAAAGCAAAGATGTCTTTTTGATACTAAGGTGGGGCTGATCCAAGCAATGGTATTTTCAATCATCTCATACACATGTGAAAGTTGGACAGTGAATGAGGAAGACTGAAGTAATGGTGATGAATATGGAATATACCATGGACTTCCAGAAGAAGGAATAAGACTTTCTTGGAAAGGTATGACCTTGGATGTGAGGGTGTCAAGATACCACCTCAGACGCTCACATTGGAAAGAGTGAGAAAGAGGAAGATCTTCAAGGAGATGGATTGGCACGGTAGTTACAAAAGTGGGCTAAAGCATAGCAATAATGGTGAAGATGACTCAAAACCAGGTCATGTTCCATTCTACGGTAATATGGAATCAGACCAGCAGTGCCTAACAATAACAACTTCTGCCTCTCTGTTTTTTATTTGGGTGTGATGTGCAGTGCCTTTACCAAGTGTACATGTTTCATTAACCAAGTGACTCCTGTTATCTCTGAGCATCAGTGAGAATGGAATCTTCTACTTAGAGTTTCACTGATACCATGTTTGGAAGAATTTCACAAAGACCAATGTCACTGCTTTTCAAATCTTGTTTCTCTTCCATTACTCACAGACTTTTCATGCTGGGCATCATAGAACATGTTGCTATTCAATACAGCCTTTAGTTCTGTACTTTTATGGCACTACTACTGAGACCTATTCTTACATAGTAGTCTAGTGGTAAAAAGCTTTACTGTAATCCCATCCTGCATCTGGTTTGAATCCACTAGATGTTGCACTGGAGAAGGATGGACAGTTTTCTCCCATGCGATTTACTGCCTTGGAAAACCCACTGAAGGATCAGCTATGGGTCTGTTCCAACTTGAAGGCAAATAACAACAACATTGCTATACTAGGAGATCTTGTGGCATAAAGGGACAAGGTACCTGAACAAAGCTGACTCAGGTTCACTAATGCCTTTTAGTGAATGCCACAATTTCTAGACATTTAACTATTCTTTATTCTTTCTGTCCCTTGTAAACACTTCTTTGGTCCTCTTCTAGTTTATTTTCTAGATCGTAAAGTGAGGGGCAGGGAAAGAAGCTGAAAGTTAGACAAATATCCTTCCACTTAAAACAAGAACAGTTAACAATGAAGAGACAGCTTATTGACAATACTTGTGACTCTTCAAAAGTTAGTGGTTTTTTTGGCATGAACAGTCTAAAGTCTCTAACCAAGGAGTGAAAATACACACATTCACTTCTCACACAAGTCCCAAAGACCAAATCATTATGTGAAATCTAGCATTTTGTGAAAATAGAGGATGACCACACCAGGTCACAAAAATGGTTGATGTCTTTATTACACAGCTATCAAGTTATGGTGTTATGTTACGACTCTCAAACCAAATCAGGACTCAGCCAAGCTGGTACACCACCTTAGCCATTACAACCAGGATTTTCTGTTATCCTGTATCTTGGTGCTCACTCCTAGCTGCCATGAAGTTGCAAAATAGATGACACACATTGTACTATTATAGGTACAAAACATTGGATAATCAGATAGTCAATAATTGAGAAGTATTTACTGAATGTTGAACTTTCATCCTTAAGGTAACTCAGAAGGTTCCCTGGAAGAGAATGAGCCTTTGATTATTTCAGACTGCTATTGTTGTTGTTAAGTCCCATCAAGTCAAGTACAACTTATAGTGACCTTACAAGTAGAACTCATAGTGATCTGAACCCTGTTATATAAATATCATTGCTTCTCTAATGTTCATAGAGTTTCCAAAGGCATGTTTATGAAATGGATGCCAATCCTGCTTCTAAACCTGTCTTAATCTGGGAGCTCTACCAAACACTGTCCACCATGGGTAACCATTATGGAATTTGACACACCAGTGGCACAGCATTCCGCATCATAGCAACCTTAAGTTGTCTCAGTACCGTAAACTGACAGACAAGTGCTGTATGACTTACAAGTATGTTCTTCCAAACACAATTCGTACCAGGCCTGTGGGCCCAACTGACTTTCAAATACAAAGGGTTGCCCACCAGGTCCTGATTGATTTAAACAAGAGGCTTCCAGCCAACATCTGCTTGTTAGCTAAATCTGGTAAATCCTGTCAACTCACACATGATCATGAACAAAATAAAAAACCACCAGTTTACAATTGACTTTCAGCTAGAAAAAGAACCTTCCCTCCAGAATCCAACTGCTTCACACATGAGCCTCCAAAGTATCTTATTAAATGTACTTTATTTCATGAAAGGAGAAGAAAGATGAGGGAAAGAGAGAAAAGGTAAGAAGAGAAGGAAAGAGGACCAGTATAGGAGATAAGTAGGACACAGAGAAGGAAGACAGAGGGAGAGAACAAAGAAAGAAGTAATAGGAAGAGAGGAAAAAAGACAAGGACAGAGAAAGAAGATGAAGAAAGGGGTGGGAGAAGGAAGAGGAAAAAAGAAAGAAGGAAGAAAAGGAAGGAGGAGAGAAAAGGATTGGGGAAGTTAAGATCTAGTCTCCTAAAATATGTTAGTACAAACTATGACCTTGAGGAGCAGGTTATCTGAGTTCCGCCCATCTGTACTGAGGCACAGGATAGCCACATCCTCCTCCTTGTCATGGGGTAGCATTCCCTCATTCCCCTCCTGGTTTCTCCAACCTCTGGCTGATGCTGGCACTCTGTCCTCTCATCCCTCCACTGTGAGGTGTTGTCATTGGATAAACCCACA